AATGAAACTGTCTCAATTTTAAAAAAAATTAAAGAAAAGAAAAAGTTTTTTTAAAAAGAGAATAATTGGGAAATTTTGAATGTGGACTTTATATTAGATAATAGGATTGTATCAATGTTAAATTTCTCTAGTGTGATCGAAGTATTGTAATTATGACAAAGAATGCTATCATTCTTAGGAAATACACATTAAAAGTTTTAGGATTAAAGTGTCATGAGACCAACTCTCAAGAATGTGTGTGTGTGTGTGTGTGTGTGTGTGTGTGTGTGTTGGTCAGAGAGAAAGAGAGGGCTATATAGAGAAAAAGTAAATGTGGTAATACATTAATAATTGGTGAATATCGGTGAAGAGTATTAGCTGTTTATCCTACTATTCCAACTTTTCCAGTGATTTGAAAGTTGAGAAAATAATCTTTTAATAGTAAATGCAAGATTAGAAGGAATTGAGGTATTAAACATAGCTTTATTTTATTGTAAAATTAAGATATAATTTTTTTTTTTTGAGACAGAGTTTCACTCTTGTTGCCCAGGCTGGAGTGTAAGGGTGCTATCTGGGCTCACCATAACCTCCGCCTCTCCGGTTCAAGCAATTCTCCTGCCTCAACCTCCCGAGTAGCTGAGATTACAGGTATACGCTATCACAGCTGGCTAATTTTTCTATTTTTAATAGAAACAGAGTTTCTCCATGTTGGTTAGGCTGGTCTCAAACTCCCGAACTCTGGTGATCCGCCACCTTGGCTTTCCAATGTTCTGCGATTACAGGTGTTAGCCACCTCGCCCGACCAAGATACACTTTTACACTTTTTGGCCAGATGGAATGGCTCACACCTGTAATCACTTTGGGAGGCTGAGGAGACTGGATCACTGAGGTCAGGAGTTTGTGACTAACCTGGCCAACATGGTGAAACCCTGTCCCTACCAAAAAAATAGAAAGATCAGCTGGATGTGGCAGCCCACGCCTGCAGTCCCAGCTGCTTGGGAGGCCGAGGCAGGATAATTGCTTTAACTACACTTTTCTGTAGCTCTGTAATTTCAGTATTTTAACCTGCTGAGCCTGTTATTTTTATTATTGGCAAATGATAAAAGATAGAAAGATAGACAAAAGATAGATAATGATAGAAAAAAGTCCAGGCGCAGTGGCTCACACCTATAATCCTAGCACTCTGGGAGATCAAGGCAGGTGGATCACCTGAGGTCAGGAATTTGAGACCAGCCTGGCCAACATGACAAAACTCTGTCTCTACTAAAAATACAAATATTAGCCAGGCATGGTGGTGGGCGCCTATTATCCCAGCTACTTGGGAGGCTGAGGCAGGAGGATGGCTTGAACCTTGGGGGCAGAGGTTGCATTGAGCTGTGATGGCGCCATTACACTCCAGTCTGGGAGAAAGAGTGAAACTCCATCACAAAAAAAAAAAAAAGATAGAATAAAAGACAAGATAGATTCTTCTTTGTTAGGAATATCCATTTTAGTTTTGTGTACCTGATTCTATAAATTCTTTAAATGGCTTTATTTAACTTTGTACTTGGCAGAAATTTTGTCTTGAGAGTGAAATGAGATGATTAGGAGATACCATTCAGAAACACCATGTATGAATGCTGGTTTTAAAAGACATGAGTTAACAACATGGATGATCCTTTAAAGCATTATGCTTATTATATTAAATGTCCAAGAAAGGCAAATATATAAAGACAGAAAGTTTAGTGGTGCTTAGGGTTGGCAATGGGGATAACTATAAATGGGCATGAGGTTTCTTTTTAGGGATTACTCTAAATGTCCTAAAATTAGATTGAGATTATGATATACAACTCTGTAAACACAGTAAAATTCATCTAATTGTATACTTAAAATTTAGATAGAGACAGGTGGCAGGGAAATTCTGGGCAGAAGAGGGTGGGTCCCTGGCAATGGCCCCACCCTCAAGCCAAAAAGCCTAATACCATGGCCCAAAGTCAAAACTTACATACGTGTTTTCCTGCTCAAATGCTGCCTTTTCCAAAATCACCCATGGCCCACCCCATCCCCCCATCCTGTACCTATAAAAACCCCAGAACTCAGCCAGCAGAAAATAGAAAAGCAGCTGGACATCAGAGACTGCAGTTGGATGTTGGAAATAAGCAGCCTGACTTCAGAGGGAGAGTTTGATAGCACAGCTTCAGAGAGGAGTCAGGCCAGGGATGGCCAGACTCCAGGGGAAGATCACCTTCCTGCTCTGTCCCTTTTTCAGCTCCCCTTCCAACTGAGAGCCACTTTCACAGGCAATAAAATTCCCTGCATTTATCATCTCCAATTCGTTTGTGCGACCTCATTCATCTTGGTGCCATGAGTGTGGGTGCAAAAGGCTATCACAGTTACCTTCCACTGAGCTGTTAACACTTAAGCTGTCCACAGACAGCAAAGCTAAAATGGCACTGTAACACTTCCTCTGGGACTTCAGGGATCATAGGCACCTCACTAGATGGTGCCATGGGGTCCACACAGAGTTTTGCTCCTGCTGGCGCCCAAAGGCGCCTGCCCCAGCTCTTGTACCTGCTCACCTGCACTCCCCCTTCTAAGGGGTAATGCAGTGGTACCGCATGAGTATAGTCCACCTCTGCCAGCACTGAAACAGCCAGCTAGTTCTAGTGCACTCCAGTTCCCGCCAGTGAAAGGATCAGGTAAATATCCTGTTTCAGAATGGGTACATTTTATAGTATATAAATATCTCAGATGTTAAAAGAAGGTATGAGATTAAAAGACTTGGCCAGGCGCGGTGGCTCAAGCCTGTAATCCCAGCACTGTGGGAGGCCGAGGTGGGTGGATCACGAGGTCAAGAGATCGAGACCATCCCGGTCAACATGGTGAAACCCCGTCTCTACTAAAAA